CCCTCACATGTCTAACAAAACAAATAAAGAAAAAAACAGCCAGCAAACAAACAAAACCCACAAAGCATAGTTCTTGGCTATTTGTTAGGCAAATTCTTCAGATCCTGCAGTTAAAGCCACAATACAGCAGGACACCAGAACACATTTTTACATATCTAATTACATGAAGTCCCTGATAGCTGCACTTAAACTGATTCCAAAAAAGACAGAATTTTCATTACATATAATGAAATCAATTATTTTTCTGTCTTTTCCAGTGGAATAGTTGGGTTTATTGTTAGTTTTCCCTTTATCAGGGAGTATGCATAATTCCATGGAATACTACAGAAACCATTATATAGGTGCTACACAGGGGGTAAACTAATTTAACATAAATTAGCAATTATGAGAAAGCAGATAATCTGATCCATAGATGACCATATATTACACATAAATATGACTATCTGCCTTTCTTAAGAGTTAAATTATTTTATCTGTTTAACTGCAGATGGAAGTACTTCACTCTGTTTTGTGCAATCTGGTACTCATCTACTCATATGAGTAGACCTGTCTCTCACTTTATAGAATACATTGGTAAAATTGTTCCATACATGCTAATGCCAAATATCCTAGATGTTTTGGTTTGAAGCTCCCAGGAACTAAAAGGAAACGGGTATCCTGAAAAACTAGAGCTACAGGCCAGATTCACCAAAATTGACTCTGTTGTCAATTCTTAATATTGACTGTATTCTTAATAGTTTTCCAGTGTCTAAATATCAAATTACTCATGATGTATTAAGTAGCAGAAACTGTTTTCCAGCTTCAGCTTAGACTTGTAGGCTCTATGTCTGCTCAACTGCAGAGAATTAGAATCAACCAAAGAAATATTCTGAGATGATAGTTTAGCTCTATTGTTGCAATAATACTTTCTACTCACTCAGTTAACATTTTCATGGCTAGGCTTCGTGAATGAAGATTAAGGAAGGCTCTATCCACATTTATTACAGGCATGCTGTCAGTTAACATAGTTATCAGAATAACTGTCTGAATAGGAATTTACAGAGAAAATAGGTTTAGGCCCTAAATAATGAATCATTTGTAGGGCATCTCTAAGGGCTCTGCTCTGCAAGACTCCCTCAAATCTATCAAATAGCTTGCTTGGTTTTAGAGAATAACAAATTCAGGGATTGCGCTCCTCTGTACAAAAAGTTTACAAAAGTTTACAAAAGCCTACAAAAGTTTATCTGATGTTAAAAAGCAGGTGCAAATTTTCATGTTCCTAGATATATTTTCTAATATTTTTTGTCAGGCTGTATAAAATGGAAAGCTGATATTATGTAATAAAGGCAAGCTGAGAACTAAGTGTCCTTAAAATTAATAATAAAAAACTGCAAGCTATAAGTCAAACCACCCTTCAAGATTTTGACAAAATCACTTCCAGTTCCAAGAATGCTTCTCAATCCTCATGCTACCCTTTTTATTTTTTTTTAATTCATCATTCATTTGTGCAGAGATAATAACAAGGCAGGTTTGTCATGGAAAAAATCTACTCTAAAAAAATTAATTTTAAAAACGAGCATCTCTGTTACTACATTGCCGTTCTTCCAAAGATATCCAAGCCAGGAATCAAGCATAAGGCCACCTGTTACGAAAGGTCTTTTTTTTCCCTACTTTTAAAACTACTTCAAGACACTTTATGCTTTCCTTTAATTCAGAACAGAACAGAATTAAGTTGCTGTGCCACAAAGAGCAAACTGTGACAACTGATTTCAAAGCAATCCTTCAAGACAAGTCCTGACTGCCATGCTTGTACTCAGCTGAAGAAGATTACTCAAAGGTTGGATGAACAAGAGCTGCTGTTATACAACCTCAGTGGTCTCGAAACTGCAGAAGGAAACATATGGGTAGCATATCAGCACTGAAAATGGCAGGTCTGCAAATGTGCAACATCCTCCTGATGGCCATTATTATCATATAAGCCCAGTATTCATACATAAAAATATGAAGATCCATTTTTATTGCTTTAGAGCTGGACATCAAAAATCACTTTAATATTTTAGAGCTCTCAACTCAGTGTGTCTGAAAGGACCATGGCTCCATGCTCTGTTCAATAAGGATTTGATTTCTCTGTATTATTTAAACATCCACCTTTAGGGGATTTTGTGTCCTTTTTCTCCACAGTATACTTGCATAAATTCTCACAGATTCTTGAAACTCATAAAAGTTTTATATATGTGTGTCAAGGTAAGAATAACCACTTTCAGGTAAGTAAAAGTAGTGTCTATTAAGAAAAGCTGTAGACATCAAGAGAGCTAAGTAATTCTGAGTTGCTTTAGGGCTTTGACTTTGCATTTATTCCTATGTGTATCTCAGGAAAATTCCTACTTTCTACATGTTGCTTGTATTAGTGGCACACACAATACCTTCAGTGCTATACTCTTGGACATTGAACAGTTTTTCAGGATGCAGAAACCAGTAACCTTCTTTAAAGGATTTATTTTTTAAGCATTCCTCCTAAAAGTTACAATTTTGTTCTGCTGAGATTCCCAAATATAGTTTGAGCCTTCAAATTCTCCTAAATATGAAATGACTGTGGTGGTCTTTTAAAGAGAAATCGTACAGTTTATTCAAAGTTAAGTGATTGGTGCACAAGACAATATTGCCACAGACTTCAGTGGTGCAGTATCAGGCCTTATAAGAGCAGTCATTCCTGCCTTTTCTGTGACTTCTAAATTCAAATTATTTTACTGGCAGTTTTCTCAGAAGAGTTGCATTTTTGCACATTAGAGAATGTTTACAATGTTCAAAGCATTAATTAATAAAGTAATTAACTATACCCCACAATGTTAATTTATTTAGACACTATTCAAAAGACATAAGATCACAGTATTTTATTAAATATTTAAACTGTCTAACTGCTCATTAAATATTTAAACTGTCTAAGCAAGACAAAAGTTTTCATAGACTGAAGTGTTTTTCTTCCCATATATTATTCTTTATACTTTCTACATATGCAAATATCTTTATCTATTTATCTCTCTCCTTTTCAGTACAGCTTGAAACAACAGAAAATTATGAATGAAAAGACAAGAATAGACCAAGCAGCAGCATTAATTCTGTATCACGATCAATACCCCAAAACAAGTTTTCTTTCTGCCTCCCTTCCTTCTTGTTATAATTTCTGCAGGTGTCCAGAAAATGTATCGCACCAAGCAATTACAAGTCTGTATCCCTGAGAGAAATTACAAACATGCTCACTGTTTTGCTAACACTTTGCTAAACTTCCTTTGACACAAGGATATTCTCACACAATATTGATACATATCAGACAAAAATATTGCATAAAAAATAATAAATTTGTTGAATTAAGGGCTGTACAGGAGGTCAGACACTTTAAAGAAAATCCAACAAGCCATTTCCTCAAATAAGGGGGCTTTAATATTCTCTTAAATACCATTCACTTATTGTGCAAGGAATGACCTGCTCCAAACTTCTTTACACATAATAAAACAAAGAGTTAAACTTGTGAGTATTGATACTTAAGCAACGTTATAAACGTGTGCAAGACTGACATGGCCATAAAAACTCTGTTCATCCCTAATAAATCACTCCTTTTATTTTAATAGCACTGGCATAAAAACAAATAACAGTTACCATCTAGATTGCTTGGGTGCATGTGTTTTAGTGAATAGTTACTTCTATGCACACTTAGATTCTAAGCTTGTTTTGAAAGCCTCTACTTTCCTTTTTTGTATCCACAAAGTACATAAGGCAAGAAAGACTGATGCATTTAAAGGAATCTGAGAACACTCTTGGAAGAAAAGGAATGCACATGAAATTATGATTTCTGGAATACTTATTTTTGTAATCAAATCAAAACTTCTCTGTACCTTGCTTAAAGCCATCTTGCCCAGAAGTTTCTTCACACAGCTACAAAAATCTCTGTAAACTCACTTCTCGCATATGGAACAACAAGAGAACAGCAAGCATCAATTGCTTTCAAAAACATTTTTGAAAAAATATAAATGCCACTCCTTTTGCTCTCAAATTTACCCATATGATCATGGTATCTCTATGATTACCATGCCACAGACTCAAGACACTGCACTCAAGACACTGCACCACTTCTTCACGAAATTCATTTTGTTTGTATAGAAAAACAAGCCAATGAACTCCTAGCCCTTCAGTGGTCTCTCACCAAGCTGACATGCACCATTCCACACCAGTTTCTCATAAGTTGGAAGGATTCCACAGAATCTCCAAGGACAAACTTTAGAAAGAGGCTTGAGTTAAAAGATTGGCAGCACATAAACCTGTCTTTTTAATGGCAACCACTTTACATTGTTTAGCACATTTAGCAGGATTTAAGGATGAATCTAATACAGTCACAAACTTTCAGAAAAAGCCTGTGAGGTAGAGGGGGAAAAAATGGTGAGGGATGAAATATATAGTCACTGCCAACAGGTCTTGAGCAAGCACTGCATGAGCAGGTGAAAAAAAATCTAGTGACTGTGAAGAGCTTGATGACAGCTCTGGGTCTGCTTCCCTTATTCAACTGTTTCCACTTATATTCACCTCTGCATCTGTTACATATTTAGGGGTGTTTTTCTTAGTAGCTTTGGATCCATTGAAGCAGGTGAGCATGTATTCAAAAGACAACTAAAAAGAAAATAAAACATTAAAAAGAAAACATTAAATAGTTCAGAGAAAAGTAGAACGATAAAGTGTGCTCTTTGCAAATAAAGGCAGCAAACTCATTTCAATTGAGTTTATGCCATTTGAATGTAGACAAATGAATAAAACAGTTTAATTTTAAATGAAATCGGGGGAACGTAATTTGATGCATATAATCTCTCTTGGCAAGGACTTCTCAAGAAGGACAACAGCAAATACACGCACATACAACCTGCAAGTATCTATCATACACTGATCTTCCTTAAGCAACTTTCCCCCACGTTCCCACCCTTCTACATTAAGCAATTATTTAAAACTCACTTTATAATCATACCTGTTTTCCTCCGTATTTATGTGCTGACAGAGGTCCCAGGTCAGGAAAGCATGTGGTACATGCTTGAGATCCAAGTGCGTAATGGCAGGGAGAAGCGTTAATTGCCCCCAAAATGCCTTTCTGAATATGAACTCTTTGGCCAAGGGTGATGAATTTATGCTTTGTTTTTAAGCTGTTCTTGGAGGGAAAAGGAAAAAAGCAAAAAGTAACCCACAGACTTGTCTCCAAAGTACTTAATATCTTTTGATTCATATGTAAATAGGTTTTTGTTAGGTTTTGGGGTTTTTTTTCTTATATAACCTTACTTTAATACCTTAATTGCTGGGTAGGACAATATGTAGCTATGTTTGGGACTATATGGAAAAGTATTAAAATACATTATAACAATTCATTTTCTTTGTACTAGTGAGTCTACGTAATTTTGACAGGGACTGTGAAGGACTCAACAGTCCAATAGATTGTAATTTCACATCTAAAAAGTTTAGAGGTGTTGCAGAACTACTTAAGCACTTGACCAGCTCCTCCCTCAAAGAAATACAAAGGAATCCAAACATCTGTATTAAAGTGCAGTTACATGATACATTGTCTTGTCTTCCGACAGCAAAGCCAGTTTAAGATGTTCCCATGCATTTCCTCCCTGACACCAGCTATTCCTTCCTTCCTTTAAGCTGCTCCCTGGAATAAGCCAATTATATAAAACCTTCTTTGTGGTTTAGATGTTTCACCTGCAGTAAAATACCTCTCTCTCTTTTTGATCACAGATGAAAACACCCTCCAAATTACAAGTACCTACATATTATTGGAAGGAAGACACTTTTCTCGTTTAAAACACCCATGGTGATGATGTTTATAGAGTAATCCAGAGGAAAATGTCTGGATCATAATGACAAAAAAATCCATGAAATTCTGGTCTAGGCATCAGGGAGCTCACAGAGATGCAGTTTACGTTCCATTTGCTTTTGCCAAGACTGTTTATCTTGTAGCTGTACATATGATGCAATAAGAACCATAAAGTTGTGAAGCAGGAAAACAACAAACAAACCAAAACAAAACAAAACCCCCACTCCTTATGTGAAATACAGATTGGTGGTTAAGACAGTCCCTGAAAGGGAGGCACATATTTGCATTCCTACTGCTGAGGAAAATACTACATGTCCTAAGCCATAACACAAAAGGCAAGTCACAGAATCACAGAATCATTTAGATTGGAAAAGACCTCCAAGATCATTGAGTCCAACCACTGACCGATCACTACCTTGTCAATTAGACCTTACCACTAAGTGCCACATCCAATTGTTTCTTGAACACTTCCAGGGACGGTGACTCCACCACATCCCTGGGCAGTCCATTCCAGTGTTTAACAACCCCTTCCATGAAGAAATTCCTTCTGATGTCCAAACTGAACCTCCCCTAGCACAACTTGAGGCCATTTCCTTTCATCCTCTCACTAGTTGTCTGGGAGAAGAGGCCAACTCACACCTTCTTACAATCTCCTTTCAGGTAGTTGTAGAGAGCAATAAGGTTTCCCCTGAGACTCCTTTTCTCCAGGTGAAACAATCCCAGCTTCCTCAGATGCTCCTCATATGATTTACTCTCTAGATCCTTCACCAGCTTTGTTGCTCTTCTCTGGATATGCTCCAGCACCTCAATGTCTTTCTTATAGTGAGGGGCCCAAAACACATAACTCGAGGTGCAGCATCATCAGTGCCGAGTACAGGGGGACAATCACTTTACTAGACCTACTGGCCACACTGTTGCTTATACAGGCCAGGATGCCATTGGCCTTCTTGGCCACCTGTGCACTGCTGGCTCATCTTCAGCCACTGTCTACCAGCACTCCCAGGTCCTTTTCCACCAGGCTGCCTTCCAGCTACTCTTCCCGCAGCCTGTATCACTGCAGGGGGTTGTTGTGACCCAAGGGCAGGACCCAGCACTTGGCCTTGTTGAACCTCAGACAACTGGCCTTGGCCCATCGATTCAGCCTGCCCACATCCTTCTGCAGAGTCTTCCTACCTTCCTGAAGATCAACACTTCCACCCTCTAGTATCATCTGTGAACCTCCTGAGGGTGTCCTTGATCCCCTCGTCCAGATCATCGATAGATATTAGACAGGACTGGGCCCAATACTGAGCCCTGGGAAACATCACTAGTGACCATCCAACGACTGGATTTAGTTCCATTTACCACCACACTCTGAGCCCAGTCATCCATCCAGTTTTTAACCCAGAGATGAGTGCACCTGTCCAAGCTGTGGGCTGACAGCTTTTCCAGAAGAATACCATGGGAGACAGACTTTGCTGAAGTCCAGGTAGAATACATCCACACCCTTCCATTCATCCAATCCTGCCACCTATCTTACAAGCAGATCAGTGCAGTAAGTGGACTCCAAGGACGTCTAACAGACCAAGTCTGAAGGAAATACGTGTAAATGAGCTGGTTGGGTTTGGATGCTGACTATTTGAAATGCTTCTCAGTACTGTTTAGGACTGGACACAAACATATGTTCAAGTTCGTGGAGCTCTAGATTATATAAATTTTAATGTTTCTTTCAAATTCTGGTGGCTCTTAAGAGACAGTTTTGTGCTTAGGCATCCTAACTTAAGTTGATGCCAACTTTTTTCAAACTTAGTTTAATAACTCCTTTGAACACTCCTGTTATTCTAATTTATAAGGCAACACATTTGTTCATATTCAGATAAAATATATCAGATAAACCACAGCTAACATTACAAAAAAAATTAGATGTATATTTTCTTAAAAATAATCATCATAAGGAAGAGAACATATGATGATTTAATCAGTGAAAACATTTCAGTTCTTGAAAAATATATGAATAATAAACACATGTCAAAAAGAGCAAGGCATCTATAAGCATAAAATTTTGAGAAATAGTAGAAAATATTTCTCTCTGAAAACATTTTCCAACAGTCTGCAATGTTGCAAATTACATCAATGCTTGTCATTTTGTCCAAACTACAGTCACAGTGTGAAATTACAAACCATGATAAGATGATAAAGTATACTATCAAACTAATTTCTCACTAACAGCATGGTTGCCTCACAAGAGGAATTAGATTTCATTTTTTATCACATATTTGGCACATTTACAGATACCTTCGGAACGTTAAATTCGTCAAATTTAAAAAAAAAAAAAAAACAACAGTTTGTCAACTGCTGAGTTTGGGGAACTAAAACATTCAAACTACTCACAGGTATTCAGCCTACATGGCCAGACTGGGTCTAATCCAAATCAAAGCATGCCAAGTAGGGCCACACTGGCAGCAAAGGAGTAACACCTACTAATAGCACAAACTAGGCTAAGGGCAGAAAAGGATACAGAGAGAGGAGACAAGAAAATGCATAAATGAGTCATGGGGATTTAGGCAGTAGAGAAGAAGATAGTATAGTCTGTTTAGAGACAGATTAGTCAACTTTCATTAGTTCACTCTAATACTTGAAAAAATTTGGTTTTCTCCAGAACATATTTAGGGAGGCAGATAAAAATAATGCATCACAGTGTCATAGAAAAAAAATTTAAAAAATCAAATATGTAACTTTCATTTATTTTGTGGTGCTTTTAATAGAAGAAGTTTTATCCTTCTCAACAAAGTTACAAAACCTACTACTGCTGACAGTCTTAATAGAATTTGCTTGCCCCTTTTGTGTAATCATAATTGATCACCTTCATTTTTAAGTGCAAAACATTTCACACAGCTGCAGAAATACTGGAAACGCTTGTTGCTTTCAAGTTCCTGAAGGTATTTTAAACAAGTATATCTCAAAATCCCATTTTATAGAGAAAAGAGCTTGGATAGAAGAGATTATCCCAAGATATATTTCTTTCTCATTCATGAAGTAACCAATCTTTCCTAGTCAAAAGATTCAAATACATGAATAGACACCTGTAAATGGTGCTGTTATGATTAAATCTTCAAAATTCTGCTGCATGGAAAGACTAGCACTATATCCTTAACAGATGTAGTGCTGGAATGGTTTTATACTCTTCAGAGAAATGGCAGAATATGATTTATCACCTTAACTCCAGTAAAATGATACTGAATGGAGTGCTGTCAGTGACGAATGACAATTCCAGCCGATTGAACTTTTCTAAAGAAAGTAAAAGATGGAATCATTTCACTATTTTACAGTTTGGAAAAGCAGCCTGGAGTGCTGAAATTTGCCAGAATTTCTATAATTAGTGGCCTTCTACTATCTACTTTAAGCAAGGGAATTATATCATGTAGATTATGGGATCTGAGGCCACACAGAGTGTCATTTTCACCATGTCTGGAGGAGGATTTAAATATGAGTACAACTTTATGTAGACACAAATTTTCTAAATTATAAAACATTACTACACAAAACCACTAAAACCAAAGTTAGATGTTTTCAAATCCTTGCAACTTGAAATCTAGGTTTCCAACATATCGCGTCTGAATCTGCCACAAGAAAAAGCTAAGCACAAGGTAACATTCAATGCGATATTTCAATTGAGAAATAAAACAGTTTCCAAGTTCACGACTGGTGTACATAACCTGTGAGGATTTAAAATCTGCACATACTTATTCTAGTGAAATAACTTCTAGGAGGACTTGAGTCTTTACTTTCAATACCAGATCAGAAGAAAATAAAGAAGCAAACCTTGTTCACATCACTATAATGTCTCTCAAATAACATGACTGGTTTTTTCTTAAAGGAGAAAAAGCAATTTCCTTCATTAAAGAACAAATATTTAAACTTAGCCTCCCTCCCCTTATTTTTTTGACATTTTAATATTAATATTTGAGAGCTTTAAGTTCTAGTCAGCATTGCATTAACTGTTGCTCTAACAAGTGTTAATGCAGTTCCTGTCTTTCCTCTGAAGAGCTATAAAAACACAGTGCTTTCAAAATTTAGGTAAGGATATAAATCTCAGCTCCAGGTGTTCCTGAATTACTTTCCGTAATCTGAAATGAAACTAGTCTTGACCAACTCTGAATAAAGTTTGAATGCAGTATAGACTTGTACTAAGTTAAACCACCAGAAGAATGAGTATGTAAAACAAACCAAAACTTACTGACATATTTACTTTCTGGAAGGCATGTTAAATGAACTTTAAAACCAGATCTGAAAATCCAGCTGTAAATGGGTATGCAAAAGTGATTAATGAGTGCTGAACACCATCCAGATCACATACTTGTAAGAACTACAGCAAGCTAGTAAAAATTCCACCCTGAAGTGACAATTCAATTTAAATTAGAACTTGCAGTTACTTTTCTAATTTAAGTCAATAGTAATTCTATGGTTGCCATATATCAGAAAAACTTGCTTAGTAAGAGTATAAAACAGCTCAGTACAACAGACATAAACAACAATCTTTTCAAATTTCATTCCTGAGTGAAGAGTGCACAACTTCTTCACTGCCAACCCTAACAAAAATCCTCCCAAGTCTGTAACCCTATTCATGTTTCTACCTCCAATGAGTTTCTGAATGTCTCTTCTATCCCCCAACCACCACCACTAACTAGAAAATCCTCCCTCATTATCTTGACTGATTGCTTCAATTAGCGAGCAATTCAGTCAACTCACATTATGTTCTATGTTTCAGTTCCAGGAAGGTAAAGGTTCACTGACATACTTCAGGTTTACTTAATTAGAAGGAAAATTAACTTAAATGTTCTAAAGACACAATGCTGGATTAGACTGCCTGACTAATGCTTATAAACTGTTTGCACCAGCCAAGGCCTTCCTCGCCAACCATGTCCTGGGGGGCATCAGGCAAAGCATCGCCAGCAGGTTGAGGGAGGGGCTCTGCACTGGGGCAGCCTCACCTTGAATATTGTGTGCAGTTTTGGGCACCACAATACAGGAAAGACATTAAGCTACTAGAGAGCATCCGAAGGAGGGCAATAAAGATGGTGAATGGCCTTGAGGGGAAGCCGTATGAAGAGTGGCTGAGGTCACTTGGTCTGTTCAGCCTGGAGAAAAGAAACTGAGGGAAGATCTCATCGTGGTCTACAATTTCCTCATGAGGGGAAGAAGAGGGGCAGGCACTGATCTCTTCTCTGTGGTGACCAGTGACAGGACCCAAGGGAATGGCCTGAAGTTGTGTCAGGAAAGGTTTAGCCTGGATATTAGAAAAAAGGTTCTTCACCCAGAGGGTCATTGAGTGCTGGAACAGGCTCCCCAGGGAAGTGGTCACAGCACCAAGACTGACAGAGTTCAAGAAGTGTTTGGACGACACTTTCAGGACCATAGCATGACTCTTGGGGTTGGTCCTTTGCAGGGCTAAGAGTTGGACTAAGTTGGCCAAGAGGGATCCTTGTAGGTCCCTTTCAACTTGGCATATTCTGTGATCACAGATGACTTTCTCTGGTTGACAAGAAGCTCAACATGAGCCAGCAATGTGCACTGGCAGCCCTGAAAGCCAAGCATACCCTGGGCTGCATCAAAAGCAGCCTGGCCAGCAGGTTGAGGGAGGTGATTCTGCCCCCCTATTCCACCCATGTGACTCCCCACCTTAAGTATTGAGTCCTGCTCTGAGACCTCAATGTAAGAAGGATGTGGATCTGTTGCAGCAAGTCCATGGAAGGCCACAAAGCTGACTACAGGGCTGGAGCACCTCTCCTATAGAGACAGGCTAGTGAGAGTTGAGTTCGTTGAGCCTGGAGAAGAGAAGCCTCCAAGGAGACCTTACAGCAGCCTTCCAGTATCTAAGGGAGGCTGAAAGAGACCTGGAGAGGGACTTTTTACAAGGACATGGTATGATATGACAAGGGGGGATGGCTTTAAACTGAGAGTAGGTTTAGTTTAGATATTAGGAAGAAATTCTTTGCTGTGAAGGTGGTAATGCTCTGGAACAGGTTTCCCAGAGAAGCTGTTGGCAGTCTGGTTGTTTTTCTGAAGAGAAACAGGAGAAAAACAGAAAAAAAGATTTTGTGGATTTTTGTTTGGGATTTGTTTGGTTGGTTTGGGGAGAGTTGTTTGTAAATTGTACATTAGAGTAGGTAAAAAAATTACATTAACATGTTTATTGTAACCAATTTTGGGTCTTCAATCAGTACTATATTTAGAAATAGATTTACACGCCCCTCAACAATTAGGAGAGTTAGAAAATCTTTAGTGAGAAAAGTGTTTTATGTTAAAAAGTGACATCTTTTTCTATTGCTTAAAATATATTTTTATTACTATGTCTGAGGAAGATGACAAAACTTATGTTACTTGACTTAGTTATTTTGCATCAGCAAAGATATGAATGAACTATCTACAGGAACAACCACTCCAGAAAAGTTTGCCAGACACATGACAGTGACGAAATATTTTCTTTTCTTAATATAAGGGAGACTAGCTCTTATGTCATTAGGAAGCAAGTCGGTAAATGCTACCAGGTTTTGAACAACTCAATATAAGAAGAGGTCACTTAAAGTAAGGGCTGTTCTTGTTCAAGCTATTTCATCAACAGCAGAACATTGCAAAGCCCCTTAGCACACAAAAGTACAATACACAAGTAGTTTAAACGTCTTTTAGCTTTCAAGCACTAATGCCATACAAAAACTCTAATTTAAAATACAGTCAATCCAAAAGTCTGCATAAAATCCTTAGAAGTTTTACAAACACTTTTAGAGTTTGTTAGAAAACCTCAAACAAACAAAACCACAAGCAAACAAAACAACAAGAAAAACAACCATCTCAAAATCAGCTGTATATTACACTGTACCTCAGGTTTCTACAGGAAGTCATATTCACACATGATAAGATGGGTCAAGGCAGCATAAAACCATACCTGGAGATATGAGAAAATGAATGTAGGGTTAGAGACTTTGAAAAAAAAAAATCATTTATCTACATTCAGTCAGTCAACAATTCTTAGGGTTACTTTTTCCTCAGAACCAAGAACATGGCCCTGCTATAGCCAACTTACCTTCAAACATGGAAGAAACATCACAGTGTGTGTGAGAAATATCTCTAATTAAAATTTCGGAGATGGCCAAATAAAGTGAAACAAAGAACTTTATCGACAGCACGCTGGGTGTACCGGACTCGTGATCAGGTCCGAACACAGCCCGAATGGGAGGGACGAGCCCTTTTAAGACCCTTTGATTTACATAACCACTCCCTCACTCCTCCCATGCCAAACCTGGCTCTTTTCTTTCTCAAAAGGTGGTATAGTCTTCTTCTTGCAGTCCATTGGTTGTTTTAACCAACTTATCAAATTGTTTCCCTGCCCCCGGCCGCATGGTCCCTTGGCAGTGAGCCCAGACTGGTCTTACTGCCTTACACACACCATAACTCTAAGTAACAGTAACTGTGTGCAACCCTGTGAGCAGCAATAGGTAACTGTAAGCAGAACAGTGAGAAGCCCACTAGTCCTCGGCCACAAAATGGCTCCCCAAATCCCCAAATAAAATGACCTCCAGGTATCTCGGCACGAGGTAACCATGGAAACCCCTGCTTGTAATAAAACCGTCTTATTAATTTCCTACAGTGTGTATTAAAAAAGATCCTTTAAATGGTCAGTAATTGCTTAGCTTTATAAAAATTTTTCACTCCAACTAACCTCTTTTCATCTACAAAATCTTTCTACACTTTCTTGAGAAAAGTGACAGTTTTGTCTAAGACAGCTAACCCTAATTCTAGCTTCATCAGGATTTCCATCTACAAGGTCGAGAAATTAAGGAGTCTGGTTGTATATATTCACTTTTCAAAAAATATCCTTCCCTGTGATACCACAAGCAATTGGCAATTTAAATTGTCATCAACAGTTTCTAGACAGTGCTTGAAAGGAAGAATCAGGGATCCATACAGAAAGGCTACAAGAGAAAACACAGGTTTTTTGCAATGTAAGAAATACAGAAAATTCAAGCTTGAATAGCAAAATGAACAGCAGTACAAAAAGCCTGCAGGTTGAGCAATAGTTTTGACAATTAGGTACTTATTCTATAGCTTCTTAACAGTAGCACCATTCGACAGAAGAAAAAAAATGAGGAGAAAAAGATCCTGTTTCCTGTGGATTCAGACTTTTTGTTTCTCAAGACAACTCTAAATTTCAGATTATTACTAGTAGAATAGTAGCAATTATGTGATGGAATGCACTATAAACCATTGTTAGTGGCCTTTTTTACCCTCATTCCAAGTAAATGAACTATCTAGTAAATGACTGTTTCAAGAGCAGTTAAACTTTCTATTGAGGTGACAATGATTATCCACCATTTTGTTAAAAAACAGCCCTTCACCTTCCCTCTTTTACCCCATTTGAAAATGCAATGTGAAATTTTGGGTTTTCTTAGTTCTCAGCTTTCAGATGAACCTGAGCTTTGAAAAACTTCTGAAAGCATCGGAATACCCAAAAAGAAGGAGAATCTAAGGAAATCAAGCCCATCCCTCTGATAAGAGGTTGAAATAGAAAGCACACACATTAAAGCAGAAGAAGAAGCCACAGGGAATCTTATGGATAAATAGTAGAATATTTACCATTTTAGTAAAGGAAGGAATTGGGTTCTAGTAGCTTAGTACAGGACAGGGATATGGAAAAGAGATCAGAAGGCTTCTGCTTATCTCAGAATTATTAAAAACTTAATTTCTTTACAAATGAAAACTTGCACAGTAAATTTGAGCAGTTTTAAAGAAAGACACAACACATTTGAGTGTGGATAATTTTTATAATATGAAGATAAATAAAGTCTAATGAAGAAGAGTTAGACTGCATAAATTAGGTTGGACAGATTGTTTCTAGAAAATTATATCACAAATGTCACAAATGTGACTTCCTAATATATCAAAGAAGTGCTGAAGCCTTGTCTAAGCAGAAGCAGTTTGAACCAGCTGTCCTTCATTATAGGTTTCTAGCTTAGCTGAGGGTTAGACCCTCAAGTCTCTGCTGACAGATGTTTGAGTAATACTTTATTTGGTTGCTTTGCAAGAAAGGGCTGAAATGATTGCCTATGCTGACAGGAATCTTAACATTAACTTGAATTTGCAGTGGTACCTGTTTCTCACGGGTCATCTGACACAATTTTAGCTATATAAGGAGCTTTGAATGTTCCTGAACTTCATCAGAGACTTCTGTGTGGCCCTAAGGTCTCAGGCAGACAAGTTGTTAAGGCTTAGTACTAGACAGGGCCTCAGAACCGCAAAAGTAAGAGGAAAAAAATGCATAAAGTCTTTCATACTAAACAGACACCATGGTTAAGTGAGCTGAGTGGTCAGTTTAAAGGTGTTTATCTTTTTAATGGGAGTCTAAATGTAAAATTAGTACCTCTAAGTTAAAGCTGCTATTAAGTACCAAGTAATCAGTTATGTTACACTGCTGACAGTATGAAATTCAATTCCCTTTGAAAGATGCTGCACTCAGCTTAAACTTGCAGCTTCTGCAATTCTGTGATAGGTATGCTCATTCCCAAGAATCCATCAAGTTTATCTATATTGTCTTTCTGCACTTTTCGGTGACAAATGTCTAATTTTCTTCAAGTAGTATAAATATTAGATATATAGTAGCCTCAAAGAATTCAAAAGAAGCAGCAGAACCTTTCTTCAGCATCTTCATTGTAAAGGGATTTTTAGGCGAGAACTTTTGTTTAATATTATGCTTCCAATATTGTCCATTAGAAATCACATTTCATACAGACCTAAAATGCCAAAAATAACCCAATGTTTAACCTAAGAAAGGTAAAAAGGATGTGAAAAGATAAAATTGGTTTCCCTGGATAAATCAGGAACAAGTAAAGACAGAGAAGCATATGGATATACAAGTCTACAATTTGGAAAAGGTTCCGAAGATCCTGAAATTCCTGAATTTTGGCAATTTTTCTTTCAGACAATCCTCTGAAATTTCTAGTGACATTTTGTTAAGGGTCAGACAACAAAAAGCTGAAGAAAACTTGCAAGAAGGCTGTTAGGACAAAAATTTAATTTGTGCTACCCTTTTCACAGACTTAGCTGAGCGGCTACTGCTAGAAAGGTAGAAACATCAAATACAAATCTGTTCATAAATGTTCTAGAAGATGTGGTTTTCTTGTGATATGACAGTTTTGGCTGACAATATTCAGACTGTTAAGACGAGAAATGCTGAAAAAATATTTACTGAAAATAGTGAGTGAAAAAAGAATTGCTGAAGAAGTTCAATGCTGACAAATATTAAACAAGATACATGACAACTCTAACTTTGCAGTGATGAATTCTGAGTTGATTCCCCCTATGAAAAAATGAGATACTGGGTGTACAGATGTGTCCAGGAGGCAAAATAGCCCCTTGGGAAAATTGCAGAGATGTTACATTTTGCTATGAAAAAGAATTCAGGTCTCAAACAGAAAACAGAAGATGAGAATGTGATTTATACAGATGAGAATGTGATTTATACAGATGAGAATGTGATTTATACAGAACCTCAAACTAACACTTACCTCTTCAAATAACATTGGAAAAACTCATGCTAGTTTCCTGCTGACCTGTTTATGTTCTGCAAGCATTATTTTCATACTTGAAGTTTACCGTCTGTGTATTTTGCCTCTATTGTTTCTCTCCAGTCATGCAAATTATACAAATATAGTCACAATTTCACTAGTACACTTATCAACAACTTCCCTGGGATATTTCCCAGATTTACCTTTTCTAGACCATGACCTCTCTCATGGTTCACATTCTGCAAGAGCCTGCACAATGTCCCCAGTGGTCTACATTTTCAAAAAATTATCCTAAGTGATGTAGAATCTCTACCAAAAGAATAGAATGAGTTAACAAGAACAGCACTTTTGCCATAGTACTTGCCTAATCCTGTTTATTTATTCCCTCCATTTCTCCTAGATTCACTGGTACACAAAACCCATCACAATAATAGCTGTCTCTTTCTGAAACGCAAGGCATAAAAGAAAATACTGGCAAGAAAAATACTCACATATTCACCTGATACAGTAATAAACACCATTAACAATTTCTTCTTTACTGAAGGAAAGAAAAATAGATCAGCTTAAGTGCAATGCTATTCAAAAATGATAATGCAAGAACTTGAAGTAACAGGTATGTTAAAAGCCGTATTACAATAATATGGCCAGAAACAGTATTTCTGGCATTTCTGAAAGCTCCTGCTTTTGGATTCTTTTTTTTTTTACCCACGTAATCACGGAGTAAACTCAGTAAATTCTACTTATCCTAAAATAAGAGCAGAATTGATGCTTTTCATTTTCAACAACAACAAAAAAAATAATATGAAGATAAAACTAGAAAGGAGAATCAGCTTTAGTACTGGTAGCAGAAGCAACGAGCTCGCTCTTCTCTCTTCCTCCAGATATGTAGTCCAGACATTAAATTCAAGCAGCAGCTTCTGAAGCAGAAAAACATAGCTTCAGTTTGTAAAGAAGGAAAACATTAGCAGGCCAGGTATAAGGAAAGGAAATGAAAGGGGAGTAAAACTCCCTTTCAGCTACAAAAGCAGTTCTAACTGAGCTTATGATAAGGATTATAGGACATACTTGCTAATAATAACAGCAAGAGAGCTGGAATTAACTGGGCCTATCCACCATTATGTGCAATAATGTATTCATCATTGACATCAGGAAAATCTGTCTTAGATAGGGGGTAAATACTCATTTAGAGGTGCAAGAAATGCAACTCAACAATTTTTATAGAGATTTTAACACATATTCTTGGGTATCTTTTCTTAGATATTTGAAAAAATTAAATTAGAGGGATTATATCTGCAAAAAAGGCTCAGAGTCACAAATAAGACCCCACATGAAGAATAAAAAGTAAATATTAAATTTAATTTCTCTTACAAAAAGTCCCACATCATTTTGAAGTATTCTCTATATTGCAGACAGCTTTAATTTTAAAGTTTAAGAACTTAAGCTTTTTATAATAACCTGTATAGATTAACATATTTCTCTGAAAAAACCTGTATAGATTAACATCTTCATACTTCTAAGTGATTGCGGAATTTTTATGTGGGGAAGAAAAGGGTTGATTGTAACAGGATATTGGGAAGTTCTTTAGTCTTTAATCTTTTCTCAGACACAAAGACCTTGTTGCACCATTGCTCCATTACTCAAAGTTGTTCTTATCTTCTCCACGACTTAGAGAACTGCAGCTAACCTTTTCCCTGATAAGACAACACTAGCTACTGTTATCTGGAAAAAGCAGAAAATGTCAATCTTTCATGAAAAAAACTGTAACTTAAGGACTAAACTGTTTATATTATAGTAGACAAGTTTGTCTACATTTACCAATAAACTACACCGAAATAGAAAACATGTATGATACTTTATATGCTTTATTTGGGGTCTATTTGTCAGTAAGAGTCAACTTTTTATTTTGTATAGTGACTAATACTGGAGCAACAAAAAAAGAATGATCCTTCAGCAAATTGTCTGACTTAACACTCAGATTTAAAATCATCATTTTTGCATGAATAACGGGCTTACTTTACATGGATGTTATTTCTTAAATCACTCCAAATATAACTTCAATTTTTAACATGAAAGCATTGAGCCCATTTTAAAACAGAAATCTTGAGTTCAGATATTCCTTACTTGATTTTACCATTTATGTTAAAAACTAGTACTAATTATGTTTTGAATGTTTTATAGATATTTTTAAACATATTCTTCCCTTTTGTTCCCACAAAAAATACATATACAACAATCATTGTGGGATACATGGGATGTTGCAACTGCATAACATGAACTGCTGAGAACACCATTTAACTTTAGATCCTATATTCAGTTACTGAGGTATATGCTGCTGTCCAAGACTTTAAGACTAGAGTTACCAAACTGGCTGGGTTGTCAGCAAGAGCAGTTACAGCAACAGAGACCGGCGTGTTCTGACTCACACACTTCCTGGGTCCTGCAGCCTGTACTGACCTCAACACTACAGCCCTGGTAACAAGTCAGGACCTGAGCTACTCAATTTACTGATAACTTAGACACTACAAATGAAGAGCTAAATGAGTAATCAAGACAACTTAACCTCAGTGGATATTTTAAAGCTAGCTAGCTATGTGCTGAAGTGTGCTGCTGAGGTCAGTCAGTTCAAGTCTGAAAGCCTTATTAGCTAAAGCTCGAAAACCCTGTCTGACATCTATGCCATTTTAAATAAACTGTCAAATTAAGTTTTCTCATTTACAGGTCTGTGATTTGTACAAGATTCAAGATACTCTCACATTCCATCTTCACCTTGACTAAGGTCTATGAAATCATTTGCTGAAGCAATACTGCTGTCTGTCCTGGTTCCAGCCAGGACAGGGGTAATTTTTTTGCAGTAGTGGGGAGGGGGCATGATTAGAACACAGCAGTTATTCCATACCCCTCATGTCCTTGCCAGGGGCAGGGGAAAGGGACTCTTTCTTCTGAGGAGAAGGGGTTCCTTATGGTCAAGAAAACGCAGTGGAGAGAGTGGTTGGGGTAGCGTGGCACCAGTACCAAGCCAGAGAGTGGTGGGGTGGTGCCAGCTGTGGTCAGGTCGGGCTCAGTGAGCATTTTGCATGTGAATCACTGTCTTTTTTCACCCTCCTCTGGGTCTGTGGTGAGCACTTTTGCATGAGAATAACGCTCTTTTTTGTACACTCTTGTTATTAATATTGCTGCTGTTATTGTTGGTTTTCTTATCTCATTGCTGTTTCCAATAAATTGTTCTTATCTCAATCTGTGATCTTTGCCTTTTGTGCCTCCCACTCTCAACTGCATCCCACCACAGCAGAAAGGGGAAGGGGAAAATGGGGGCAGGAACAAGAGAGAGCAGTAGTGTGGTTTTGGTTGGTGGGAACACTGAGTTGGGGAGTAACATTTCTAAACCGCGACACTGTACTAGTACTGGGACAGTATATGTTAAATAACCTGTAGCACTTTAAAACCTGGAACAAAATACAGAGAGACTTACACAGTAGATAAGGTTGGAGTGAAATAAAGGACACAAGCAACAGTATGTGATAACGAGAAGACACAACGGTTCACTGAGAAGCTGCAGCGATTAGTTTGTCTGATAAGACAAACAAGTCCTGGTCCTGCTGCTTTTCTCAGAGAACACCTGTCATTCCTGCATAGGTGTTCAGCTGTAATGGTTCCCCCGCAGGGATAAAAACACTTGTTTTAAAGAGGGAACACTGGAACAGTTATCTTGAGGTGACAATAGGCTTAGGAGAGTGCAGTCAACAGTAGGGAAAAAAACTAGGCTCTCTAAGCAGTATGCACCTGTTACATATCAGTTCAACCATACCACAAACACCTAAACAAGAAGTGGCTGGAATTCCTTTTGCTGTATTTCAGAGGCTTGAAAATAACTAATTTTATGTAATCGCTATTTTAGTAGTGAGGCTCTTACTGTGCCAGTGTTTGGTTTTCCTTAGCAATCTGTTTATTTCTTCTTTTGCACATCATTACAAAATGAAATAGTATAGAAAGCATTGAAAGATATGTAAAGATTAATGAAAGTCATCGAATGTTACTAATTCACTGATCAAAGGAAAGTGTTTTGTGTGCTTTATAGAGTTAGGAACAATATCTATTGTTACAGTTACTATACAATTTTTTATTTTTACACAGCTATGCAGCCATGGCTATCTTTTTAAGACAGGAAAAGTATAGACATATACAACTCTGGTTGGCCAGCAACACCTTAAAAAAATCCCAAAACAACCCAAACAAGCCCCAAAGAAAATCTCCCCAAACAAACCAACCAACCCCTCCCACTGCCTTGGTTTTCATTGTATTCAAGGTGACTTTTATATCTGTGATAGTAGGCCCTCATATATATCCCAAAATGTTACAGTACTCAAAAATCACCACAGCAAACCTAAAGAAGGCTGGAACGAGCCTTTCTGAGGAGGTGCTATAACAGCAAAGTACCAAAGTATCCACTCACACCATAAATCATAAAAGAGGCAAATTGACCTGTGCAGGCAATCTAATAGCAATAAAATCCTTAGTAGTGAAGGGATTTTTAGTCCCCAGAAAACTGAAGGTAATGTGATATAAATAGGGTAATGCAACAATATCACAGGCAGTAACTGCCAATGAGGATATCCACCCCAAGCTCATTTCTGGGTAGCCCCAGCTGCATACTCCCGTCTTGCCTTCTGGTGGTGTTGCCTTGACTTTGTATCAAGCCAATTCAGTTTGACTGAAATCTGCTCCTCTCTTCCATCTGGTCTCTCCCCAGCTGAAGTGAACAGTTTCACACTGTTATGTGTGCACTGTTTCCTCATAGATAAAGCCATTATCACAGAATCACAGCATGCTTTGGGTTGGAAGGAACCTTAAAAGACCATCCAGTTCCAATGCCCCTGCCATGGGCAGGGACACCTTCCACTAGATGAAGTTGCTAAAAAAATCTACACTTCCAGGGATGGGGCATCCACAGCTTCTCTGGGAAACCTGTTCCAGGTGACTCACAATCCCCACAAGGAAGAATTTCTTCCTAATATCTAATATAAACCCACACTCTCAGTTTGAAGCTATTCCCCCTTGGCTCTTCACTCCATGCCTTCTCAAGACGTCCAACTCCCTTTAAGTACTGGAAGGCTGCTATTGAGGCCTCTGGAGTCTTCTCCAGGCTGAACAACCCTAGCTCTCTCAACCATAGGAGAGGTGCTCCAGCCCTCCTAATTATCTTAGTGGTCCTCCTCTGGACTTCCTCCAACAGGTCCATGTTCTTTGTAGTTGGTGGCCCCAGATTTGGATACAGTACTCCAGTGAGGTTTCACTGAAATGGAGTAGAGAGGCAGAATCACCTCCCTTGACCTGCTAATCACACTTCTTTTGATGCAGCCCAGGGTACACCTGGCCCTCTGGGCTGCAAGTGCACATTGCTTGTTCATGTCAAGCTTCTTATCCACCAAAACCCCCAATTCCTTCTCATTGCTGCTCTCAATCCATTTTCTGCCTAGCCTGTATTTGTACTTAGGATTGTCAATAAACATACCAATACAGAATCTATATTAAAATTTGCATTAAATTTGTAAATATTAGCATAAAGTAATATTAGCAATGAACACTGGACCATATTTTTTTTTAGACAAACAAAA